AACTGGGGATTGAACTCAGACCTTTGCACTTGCCAAGGAAGCACTTATTCTACTGAGTCATCTCCCTGGCTCCCTAGCTTTTCTTTATGTATCAGAAGATGCAGATGATGATGATGATTATTATTATTATTATTATCATTATTATTAGTAGTAGTATTACCACCAAATGAGGACAGACAGAGCTGGGACCTAGGAGTTCTTATTTGAAATTCCACAGTTAATTCTGATGGCCAATTTCAGAAAGAGGAGTTAGGAATTTTAAGGACTTTCTTCCATGGTGCTTGAGACAACTTCCTTTCCTAGGGATTCCTTTACAGCTTTGGCACTCGGAAGCCTCCCAAGTACATCTATTCGTGTACTCATTCAGTGTGTGTGTTGATGGGCACAGTGTGTCACATACTGTCCAGCTCAAGGACCCCATGAGCTGGTGCCCAGAGCCAGCTGACAGTGGCACAGTGAGAATCGAGCAGATTGAGGTTCAAGTGTCAGCCTGCCGTTAGCCAGCCACAGGGCTTTATCCTCATGCCTGATCTTGCTGGGACTCGAACTCTAGCACGTCTTCATTTATCAGTGGAATGCTGTGTGGCTTTTCCAGTGATTGGGAGGAGTGAATGAGTTCAGGTCAAAAGATTAGCCTGCTGCCTGATAGCCGACACATTACCTGCTGATATTTTCACCATTATCTTTATACATTGCACATATGATTTTGATGGTGGAACATCTTAAATAGATTTCGTCTGGCTTTCAAACATGAGAGAAAATGAAAAGGAGATTTTTTTAGCTGAGCGCCATGTGTGTAGCGGGCTGAGGCTGCAGGGTCTGCTGCAGAAATCGGTGGCTTCAAGCAGTCCTGGTTTGCATCAACATATAAACAGTTTCCATTTGGAAAGAGGAAAGAAATATCAAGAAGAAGAGTCTCTTGGACTCTGCTTGTAAGTTGGAAGTTCCTAATTTTGCATCAGGACAAGGACATTGTCCTTATGCCTGCCATGTATCTGGAAAGAGCTTAATTAGAAATGCAATAGGTTAAGAGGAAACACATATTTCTGTATGCTTTGTTCTGGCATAATTCCTGCTACTTCCATATCTGCTACTCCTTTTCTAAGTCCCCAAAAGCCAAAAATTATGTGTCAAGAAAAGGAATTTTGTGGCATGTTTATACTCAGAATGGCAAAGTAGTTAGTTCAGAATACCTTCATTTGCAAGTAAGTAATTATGACTGAGAGGAGAGGAACAAGGCAAATATCTTCCACGTAAATACCTCTCCTCTCCAGCTTGCCTGTCGTCCTGGCACTGGAAGCGTTCAGATCTATGCCATTCGCTGCCACACAGCTGTGTTCTGGGGACATCAGGGAAGCCCTTCATGTCAGCATCTCACAATGCAGAGAGAGCCCCCATGCAGGGCTCTTCCTCTGAAATGTGGGCGCCTGCTGACACGACAGGACGCGCTCCACCGCAGGCACGCGCAGCCTGCTACCATTCAAAATGTTCTCTGCATCTGTTTCAGAATCTATAATAACTTGCCGGAAGTTAAAAAGAAAAAAGAAGAACAAAAGAAAAGGGTGATCTTACAGAGTAACAGACTTCGTGCAGAAGTCTTCAAAAAGGTAATGGTTTCACGCCAGCAGGTGTGACGTGTGTGGCACGCAGATGTGAACGTGGACTTGACATCTTTGTTTCCCTGCTTCTCCAGCAATTACTGGACCAGCTTCTTCAAAGGAATGCAGTCTGACCCCAGACTGCCCTGCGGACCACTTCCTGGACCTGAGAAGACTTCAAACACTGGATAAGCTATTAAACTTACCATTATCTTCATGACAAGAAAATACTTATTTTGCTTTTGATTTTTTTATATAAGGAAAAATAACACTTCTTGAGTGACTGACCCAAACAAACAGAAAGAGTAATCCTCAAGGAAATAGGTCAACAGTCTTGTGGAGAAATCAATTCCATGTAACCTGCTAGGCTTAGTCCTCTTCATTTTTTGACTTCTGAGTTTTGTCTCTTACTTGTGGTGTCCCCTCCCTACCATTATGACCCAAGCAGAAAGTCCAATCTACTCAAGTATTCTTAGATCTCTGAGGAATATTTTTTCATCAAACTTCTGGGACTGAAATCCATCACTTTCCAAAGCCAGTCTTAACATCTGCCAGTTCCCAACTCCATAATGTGGGGCATCAGATACTGTGTCTTAAAATGCACATCCTCTAATACTAGAGGCTTACTTTGGGAGTGATCAGGTCATATGCTTCAGACTGCTGTTTTCTGTGACCCAGAACAATCAGAGTGGCCCTCATCCTTCCCCCCCCCATAACTCCCCCATGCACAGTTCTGTCTTTGCTGGGCCAAAGAACCTCGATCTCAGTGGAAGTTTTGAAGGCAGAATTAACCAACTAAATATGTAGAAGATGTCAGTGTTTTCTGCATCCCAGACCCTTCTCCCAACAGAAGTTGTGCTGTTAAAGTGGCCTAATGACTCTAACTCTGCTATTTATTCTTCTAAATACTTATAGCACCCATTATTTATAAACTTATCTGGCAAGGTGAGAACTCATTTTTAGAACAACAACCAAAAAATGGAAATAAATGCAATTATTCAAATATCCAAGTGTTTGTGTCATATTCTGATCTACATGGAGCAGTGGCCATAGACAGCACTTGGTGTGAAGTGCTACCACCACCTCTGGCTATCACAGAGTCACAGCTCTGGTACTTCTGAGGGTCCCAGTGGAGAATGCTGCTTTCCATGGATGTTGTACAAGAGAAGCAGGGGTCCTGAAGAGCACAAATCTCATTTGGTACATTCTTAGGGATCAGACAAGTTAAGGGGACCAGCGGGTATCCTGGTGACATTTATGTCCCTGCTCTTAAGTTGCTACCTTCCTTCACTACCACTGCACACAGTCCCTTTGTCTGGACCACCTGTTCTTCCTATGTCTGCTGGCAAGTTGCTTAAAACCACTGCCTCTGTATTTTCTCCTGACACACTGTTCCCTCTCTGCTCTGCCTTCTAGTAGAATTAGAAACTTCACTTTTATTTCCTGCCTTTAGGTGGCAGCTTACATGCCCAGCTGCCTGGATTTAAGTCATGGTGGCTGCTGGTGGTGCAAGGGTTTAGTTGGTGAGAAGACAGCTCTAAAGACAGGTAGGCTCTAGAGACCTCAGATATAAGGAGAAGTACTAACCCTAGGAAGAGGGTTCCTGGATGAAAGGAAACGGCTGTTACCCCTCAGATGACAGCGAACTTTCTGTGCCGCCATGGTAGTAGAATTTGTTGAAAATATCCCCTCTGGAACTTGCCAGAAACATGACCTCTGGGATGTAGAGAGCTGTCTCCTGAGGCTCTCTGTATCAGTACCAACTCAGGAAAGCCATGGAGCCCAGGCACTCTAGAAGCATGGCTCTGCAGCCAATTGAGAAAACATGATTAGTAAGCTACATTTTTCTTACTCCGGCAGCATTTCTCTAGCGCCCCCTCCTGGCAAAAGTTTGCTGGAAGACAAAGACCATTCAAAGGGCCTGGGTCTATTTTCACAGAGCAGGTAAAAAAAAAAAAAAAAAAAAACCTGAAAGTAAAAAAAGAGAATACACTCAAAGATTGACACAGTAGGTCATTTAGCTTTGCCTCAGTTTCCTCAACTGCTAGGTGGTAATAATTGTGCCTCCTTCAAGGAGTTGCTATGGAAACAGTAAATCAGTGTAAGTCGAGGGTAGGGAATGATACCTGACCCTAAGCAAACCTGAGCTCTGTTTTCTGTCCTAAGCAGAGTGGTAGGAAACGCATAGGGATTATGAGTTGCTGGTCCCCTGAACCCCTTAGCCTGACAATGAGATGATCCAGAAGGCCACTGAATCATGGGCACAGTTGCCGTTGACGCCACTCATATGTGCAGCCTGCTTCATAAACTTCCTTTGTCCTCATGTTCTTCTGACCTTTCAAGAGTGTTTCAGCAGCATGCAAGGCTCACCTAAAGGCTACATCTGTTTTTTTTTTTTTTTTTTTTTTAAGTGATAGGGCCTCTTACAGGATGCTATACTGAATATCTGCATTCTAAGTGCCTTCTAAAATATTTTAAGGGGGCCCAGCCCTAGCTCAGTTCTTTAAGTGGCTGCTTCCACAATGCTGGCAGCTTCAGTTTGCTGTAGTTCGATCCCCACAACACTCCAGCCATGCAAAAGTGCCCTGAAGGCATTCAAGGAGCAAAACACACACAAATAAATAAATAAATAAATAAATAAAATATTTTAAATATATAATATTTAAGGGCACTCTTGTTTAGAAAAATATCTTGACACACTTTTTCTTGTTTTGCTTCAATGTCTTTGGAGAGTTTCCTAGGCATTTAAGGTGCTAGCAGTTCTAGACTATTCTGGTGTACCTTTCCAAAAATGGATTACGTCAGCTAACATTTTAAAAAGAAATTGCCTGGGTGGAACCAACTTTTCAAGAAATTTCCTTAAAGAATTTGCTCTTTGGAACTTGCCCTCATTGCAACTCAGTGTTCAGGTCCTAAAATCTAAAGAATAATAGTCGATCTGAGGTTAAATGCACTGATCAATGTACTTCTGAGGACAGTTCTTAACCAACATGCCTGAGGTGGAGAATGGACAGCCAACTCAGAACAGGCTGGAAAATACAGTTTGGTTTTCTGTTGAACTGATTTTTCTTTCCTATTGTTGCAGAAAACATTTTGAACATAGACAAATGGTTGTTAGATATACAGTATCTCTTTTGTTGTAATAAAGTTATAATAGAAATATAATATGATGTTATAATAAATATTGCAGGGAAAGCCTGATGACTCAAACAGCCATCCCTTAGATTTCTCTCAGGAATTGGCCACCACTTCCTGTATTTTTTTAAAATTAAAATTAAAATCAGGTGTTAGGAAAGACTTTGAAAATCCTAAGTAGAATTTGCCATTGAAGCGTTAGGAAGCGCGCTCTGGTCTGCGGTTGCTTTCTTTACATCTGTGTGTTCTGATGCTGGTACAGAAAAAGTTCCTAATGATGCAGAAGGTAGCAGGGGTTTAAAGCCATAGCGCTGAGGTTCACAAGTCCGGATCAACCGTTGTTCGGAGTGCCTGGAGTCTGGGTGGTACCAGAACCAGGCTGTCTCACAGTGGTCTCCATGACTTCATGGTGAAGGAGCAATTACTATTTTGGTTATGTGTCCTTTCTGCCAGCTGGTAATGGAATAATGGAAAAACAATGGCCTTGGTTTTTCAGCCAGTGTCTGTTGCCAACCCAACTTCCTGGAAGTTGTGTGTTCCCAGGGTGAGTCAGCAAATGCTTGCTCAGGCGGAACAAGGCTTTTTGAAAGAAATACTTGTAAAACAGCCAGTCATGGGAGAAGTGAGTGGCTGAAAATTCTGTCTCACAGAGTTCCCTCATTTCAACACATACTGGTTTTAAAAAAAAAATGGAGGTAGTGGAGTTGTCTCTGAATGCATCATATGACCGGTAGTCTGATATGAGGGGCATTGGATGCAGGGTGACAGGAAGAAGGGAAGAGGGGCAGGATGTGGTTGTCTAGTGAGGGTGATCTGACTGTTGATATGTGAGAGTTCTGGGTTAAGGAAGTAAGAGTATGATTTTAAAAAACTGAGCCTGAGAGTGTTTGTAAGTTCGTTAAAAGCAAAGAAAATGATCTGCTAAATGATTAAAACGAGCCCATCAGCAGATGGTTCCCCATGATAGGGTTCATGAAATTGATACTCTCATCAATACTTGGTAATAGCCTATGAATGCCTAGCTCTGTAGAAACCTTTCAGAACTGGCTAGCACTGGTTGATGCAACCTACTCCAGGGATTGGATTGCTTTGAAAATTCTTCCAACCCGCTCTGTGTGCCCCACACTATGGGGACAGTTCCCAGCCCAGGGAGGAGAGCAGGCTGTTTTGAAAGCTGCTTGAGATTCCCTAACCTCTTTTTCTCCAAATCTGAGCTGCTTGTCTGGGAGTTCAGGGTCCTTCACCCAAGCAGATGCTGTAGCCACGTGGAACACAGCAACAGGTTTAGTAAGTCTCCCCTAGAACCAGGCTTTTATTTCAAGTTGTGTCATTTGCCTCAGGTACAGATCTAAGGCTGAGATCCCAGGGGACCTTCCAAGGGAAGTTATCTGGGTTGTGACTAGGGGACAGTGAGGGACATTTTCTTTGATTCTCTAAGAGTATTCACGTATGCATGACAGATGATACCTGACTTGCCAGGGAGCTGCAGGAAAGGTGATTGCAAGCAGCAGTTCTCATCTCTGGTCCTAGCATAGCAAGAAACTAGGAGTGGGCTATGGGAGGACAAGTCTTTCCTTGAGCATCATAAATGAATGCTGCTTTATTCGTATCAAAGCATAAAAGGAAAGAGAAAGACACAGGATGAAAACAACAGCACAGAGTGAAAAATGAGCTTCTTCAAATCATTTATTAAACAGCACCAAGAGTGAATGACATAGAAAAATAAGTCCTTCTGCTGACCTTCAGAGCATGCTTTCCGTTTCAACATCTTTCCTGGCATGCATAAAGTGGTGCGGCAGCTGCGACTGACATCAGGGAAAAGATATTACAACTGGCACCATGTTAAGTCCAGACGACGGCGAATATCCTGTCATCAAAGCCAAACGTGCTGCCCGATGTACCTGCCCTGTGATGTAAGAGAGAAGGAGTCACAAATCTTTTCAGTGTTGCTGATTTATACAGTAATAGATGCGAACGTTTGTGTTATGTCCATGTGGCTCCTCCTTGACTGTTATTACACTGACACCAGAAGGATTAACAGCAGCACTCACTTAACAGGCCCGTATGGCCAAGTGCATGCTGACCATTAAAAACTGCTATGTGTGCACAGCTAGCTTCAGGTGGGTTAGGCCAGACTTAATTGTTATACGTCGACATAATCACAATACCTGGCCCCGCTCTTTTAGCTGCAGTGTTTATTCAAGCAAAATGATGAATGACTAAGAATTGCTTGCTTGCTCGCTCATGCTCTTTCTGTCTCTGTCTCTCTGTCTCTCTCTGTCTCTCTCTCTCTCTCTCTCTCTCTCTCTCTCTCTCTCTCTCTCTCTCTCTGTCTCTCTCCTCACTCACTTCTCTCTTTTGTTTTCTTATGGTAACCTGTGACATTTCATTTGTGAAGCTGAGCCTTGTACTTTACAATGGATGATGTTTTTATTTTTTCATGGATTGAACGAGTGTGTGGATGTTGGTATTTCTAAGACTCATTGACTTTTGAGCACTCTAGCAAGCTTCTGCCTCCTCCTGCTGGCTGCTACACAGTCAAGTGACTTCTTACTGGTAGGCATAGAGGAACCCCTAAGGAGGGAGAGAATTGGAACAGAAGACTGCCTAACCCAGGACTCATTCCAAACATTTTGTTTCAAATTTTTATAAAAGACTTATTTACTTATTTGGTACAGGGTCTCGCTATGCAGTTCAGGCTGATCCTCCTGTCTCAGCCCCCCCAGTGCTGGGATTACAGGTGCGTGCCACCACACTTGGTTTTGTGGCCGGCATAGTGTGGCGGTATCAGGGATCTAACCTGGGTCCTTGTGCTTGCCAGTCAGGTGCTTAGAGCACTGAGCTATCTCT